CTCACGTAGAAAATCCGACATCATTAATCAAGGGAAATCATATTCATTCGAGGTAACGATTTAATAAAGCAAAAACAATCATAACTTTTTATCGGAAGACATCGGGTTTTCCGGGGAAACCAATCGTACTCACTTGTACTTTCAAAAACTATAATGCAAAACTTCTCACTTATTCACATTTTGAAATCATTCACGCATATACTTACAGGATCATCACAACATTTTCAAGAAAAGTTTTAATACTGAAAATATCGGATTTTCAGGGTTTTACCAATGACATAAACTACTTTACATCAAACACCTTTATGAACTCACCAACATTATATATGTTGACTGTTTTCAAAATAACTTGTATTCTCATGTAATCGTTAGACAAGGAGGCATCCAGTGTGTTGAAAGTTTCTTTTGTAGTTGCTAATCACCAAACTCTTTATATTTTGAAATCATGTAATGTAAACCTTGTACTTGATGTAAACAATGCCAGTTGTACTATGTAATGGTTGGTGATGCATGTGTTATGTTTCATATATATTCATTGTGATGATATTTCAATTTAAGTCATGCGAGCCCTCGGACGTTTTCGCCGTTTGGTTCGGGGGTGTGACAATAAATAGAGCTCGATTTTTACTCTTTTCTTCACACCTTTCCATCCAATATTTTCCAAAGCCCTCCCAAGGTCCCAAGAACTTTCTCTAGCATTTCCTAAGTGCTAGTAGCGAAGCTCCGGAGCGCCAAAAAGCCCCGAGAAATAGAGCTTTCCGTTTAGATGTTTTGCCCGCGCCGAGTCCGGTTTCTCGCTAAACCACCTGTAAGTTGAGTTATACTTACCGTACTTTAACTATAACTTATGTTTAAGTTCATTATCGTTATTATGAACCTATAAAAAATATTTTTCATTGATTCCAAGTCGTTATACCGATTGATCTACTTACGGGAGAGGTGTCTAGAATGGTCATGTTGGCTTGGTTGTTGGATTTCAGAAAAGCTATACGCCGAAATGATCATGCCTCCCAACTGTCATGCCTGGTGGATCCTTACTTGATAGATCTTGAAGTAGACATTGAATTAATGATGAATCAAGACCAATAATTAGTAACAAGAAATATTAGATTAAGATTAATTGATAATAATACTAGGTTACGTCGAAGGAAAAGACAGTTGCTAGGAGCGAAGCGCTGTCCGAGTTTCGAGTTATCACTTTAACAAGTGAGTGCATAGTTACTTTCATCTTACACATAGATATGAAGTATTTAATATGAATACATACTATATGTGCTTATTATTTGTGTTCGTGATATCTATGCAAGATGAACGATTTATACATGTTTTACTTGATTTAAACTGTATATGTATTTTTATACCTATAAATATATTAGGTAAAGATGGGTAGATGAAAGATGATGTAGATGATGAGAGATGAAAGACGATATAGAGGATGAGAGATGAATGATGAAATAGATGATGAGAGGCCTTGACTTTAAAGATGATGTCATCTAGCAGAGTATAGATAACAACCACAGACTATTCTAGACAGTCTAATGGAACGCTAGCAGGCTCACAACCTGTAGGTGTTTGTGAACCAGTGATCATCAGATGTACTCTAAAAACCCATTGTCATGTATTGTGGGTGGAACCCCTAAATTAGAACTGTCAATAAAGAAGATAAACCTTGGCAGCTATGGACTTAGTTCCTATTAGATAAACACTGGCAGCTATGGACTTAGTGCCTAATAGATAACACTGACAGCTATGGACTTAGTGTCTATTAGATAAATCGTGGAAGTGATGGACTTTGTGCCTATTCCTTATGACAAATCCTTAGGAGTAAATATAAAAGAATACCTACTGACAAGTGTCATGGAGGAATCACTGAACCAGTTTGTCAGCATAGATGATTCGTAGGGTTGATCCTTAAGAATAAAGAAGATAATGGGGATGGGAAATTGGATTAATTGTTTGATGATTAAACATATTAATTACATTATTGTGCGATTGAAAACCCTATGTACTCATCAGGTTTCCTAACCTGACCCACTCAGTTTATTGTATCACATGTAGCGATATTAAAGATACATTCTGTTGAGAGATTCAAAGAGTATTAGGTCACTAGTTTAATTACTGTAAGGCTTGTAATATTTCATTATGCTTATGTTTCTATTGACGATGACATCCCATTGTTTTAATATAAATAAAATACATTTCTTAGGAAATGGTTTGATAATATCTTTATCATACTTTTTGGAACAAATTCCGCAATATTATTCTTCGAAAAGGATACTCTGGTTTTTAAATAAGCATAAACAAATCGATCTTTTCTGGCCGTGAAATTGGGGATGTCACAGTTGGCATCAAAGCATTAGTTTAAGCGAACTACGAATTTGTATGAGTTTTAGACTTAAACTTAGAATGCTAAGCGATGATTGTGAGATAAGTGTCTGTTATATTTAGAAAATATACCTGAATAGACATGAACAGTAGCTTATTTTAGGAAAGATACCTAAATTGCTTTTATGTGCTAGATGATTTATGTTATAACTATAAGATACCTTATATACCTTATGATGCTATTATTTGATCGGATCTATGGTCTATTGCCGACCGGATCTAGAAACTTTATGTGTTCAAATTTCTAAACGTTTACTTACAGTATTAGAACTGACATGTAACTTTTCGGAGTGATAAGGAGATTTATACGCCTATCGTAAATAAAGCTTTCCCTATCTTAATTCTCGTCGATGTACACTGAACATCTACTTTACTTTGGGGGAACTCACTATCTTTGGCTTACAGTTTTAGTTTATTGTTTCAGGTACTTCTGAGGATCGTGGGAAAGCGAATGCATGATCGTGCACATCTTCCTATTTTCATGATATGGATTTTTGGGACATTATGATATGACTTTACTTTTGAAACAATGGCTTTTTTTGTAAGCAATGATGGTTAATGGTTGTTTTTGAAAGTTTTAAATTTTTATGAGTTTTGGAGTGTTACAGCCACCCACCCCCTCACGTCCTCACCCTTCTTCTTCTTCTTCTTCTTCTTCACTTCTCCCAAATCGTCTGCCGCATCGCAACTCCCTTCTTCTCATTGAAATCGAACAACATGTCTGTCACAAGAAAAATGAAACGCATAGATCGATTTAGGAATCTACGGAAACGTTGATGATGGGTGTGATTTTTGTGGTGTGGAGATGATGAAGAAAGCTGATGATGGAGGGGTCTACGGCAACGATAAACAACAACGATGATTTCTAAGGTGCAAAAACAATAAACGTCATCGATTCTCTAGGTTGTGGAAACAATGAACATTGTCATCGATTTCTGGGATTTGGAAACGATTCACAATGACATCGTGTCTTAAGATTTAGGGAGGATTCGTCCATATAAAGGCAGCCATGCACCTGGGGATCAACTTAAGAAGAGGAACACAACAAGGATTTTGTTGTCTGGATACAGAGGCAGACATAAGGAATTCGAAGACAAGTTCTTTTAGAGCTCATTCTTGGCTAGAGAGAGGGAGAGAAAGAAGTAAAGAAAGAGATGAGGTGTTGTCAGTTTGGATTCTATCATTTGGCGAAGTATAATTTAGGACTTCTTTATATGGAATTTTCCGTGTATTGTACATCTTTTAGAAGCTTACAATATGCGAACTTGATTATATGATGTAAAACTTATATGGATTGCTTAGTTTTAGTCTCTGGAGCTAATTTTAAGACATGTTAGAAACTTGATTTTATATCTTATCTCTTGTTAACTCTGTATAATAGGTGAATATGACTTTATGATTTTTAACTAATCTGTTGTTCTTTGTTGATTTTTTTCATAACAGGTGAAAGTTCCAACTTGGATTGATAATAGTGAAGAAGGATTTCTCAGTGTAGGTGCCCGATTTGAACCTACATTAGAATCAAAGGAGAGGGATGCTACTAAGACAGATTTACCCTTCAGACCCATTATTGTTGTACACCAAAAAACAAGGTTCATTTTTCATTTTATTCTTCTTTTCCTCCTTCACAACTCGAATACATGTCATGATATTATGAAGAATATTATTAAAAGATTTTCAAGTGTTACTTATATCAAAACTCAAGATTTAGGGGCGTTATTATTTGGAGCTTACTTATGAAGTTATCCTAGTGCACAGAGAAGAAAGAGAAAGAAGAAATTGATAAAAAGAAGGTTGGGTGGGCCTTAAAAAGTGGCTGTAAATATGAAATGACAAAAATGCCCCCAACATGCTACTCACGTTGGGGTTACTAACAGCAAAATAGATGACAAAGTTAATTTAGGAACTGGGTGGGTAACAAATTTAGGTTTTAAGGATGATCCGAGTTAAAAAAAACTTTTTAGGGACCAGACGTGCAAGTAACCATTAACCACAGGGTGTAATTTACTCTAATTAATACTTAAAAAAGGTTGAATTTCTTATTCCTTGTCCATGTTCCATGAGTTATTATAATTTATAAACTCTTTCGCCTAAACTTAGATTCACTCTTTAATTTACTCTTAGCAAATTATACCATGTATGATCGATTGATCGGGTATTTTCTTGGATAAGATGCTTGATTTTGTACCTACGATTAGAACTGTCACAAACAAAACAAAATTTTGCAAGTGATAAATTACGACCAAAAAAAAAAAACCAGATTCATTGAACGTGATTAACAAGAGCAAACACCAACTAAAACCAACGGAAACAAACATACAAGACACACACTACTAGTGGATAAATATCCAGAGAGTACATGATAGCCATCTGGAACGAACACAAGTACTGGATCATCGCCACTAGTGCTTATACGTGCTCCTTGGGTCACCTCTTCATTGCACCCTGTAAACAATTTAAAATTAGATCTCGAAATTTTCTTCAACGACGAAATAAGACAACATTTGTATTAAGATAACTAACAAAAGTTTCAGTAAATCATCTAACTATGCATATGTAAGGATTTATAGGTATGTGTTAAAGTATACCAATATTCAAAATTTTATGTTGAAACATTACTTTGAGCAGTCAGTAGTAGGGCTGATCTTGTAGGGGATGTTGACACCGCATTTCCCAGGGAGGCTACTAGCGGCGTTAAGGTTGATTCCGGGAACCATGCCGGCGGCTTGTTCCATGCACTTGCAGGCGGTCTGACGGTCGACAGTGGTTGATGCAGCCTTGTAGAGTGAGGTTATACCATTGCAGCATGAGGCTGTTACAGGGCCTCGTGCAGTGAGGTAGGAGGCACACGGTGTGAGGCTACTGACCACCATCTGGCAGGTCACGGCAGCCTCCACCGTGTTTGCCACCATGACGCAGAGGAGTAGCGCCAACGCCGCCTTTCCACCAACTGCCATTACTTCTAGAGTGCGTTTTGGAGAGTGTGAGTTAAGTTCTTGATTTTTAGGAAGGGAGTTGTCACTGGTGTGGGATGTGGACTATCATTGGGTTGGTGTATATTTATAGAGTATGAAAAGTAGAGCACTCTTTTTTTAAACCTAATTAATTTAATTTTCTTATCAGAAGTTTTAAGTGTTTCAAGTTTCGATCATTTTACTTTGACTTTTGTCTGATTGTAATGAATTTTGTTTTCTTTTTTTTTTCCACAATTATAAATTTTATAAATTTGTTCGCATGGCGTATTTTGAACTATGAGTTAATTTTTTTTTTTTTTTTAAATTATCATTAAATAGTTACCAAACGTTCCAATGTTTTGAAATGTTTTGAAAAATGTAGATATTATACTTATTTTGTATTTGCTTATGTTTCATTTGTTTCTTATATCGGTAGAAATACTAAGGATTCTGTCATACTTACTTCTTTTTCCATTTGTAGAATATACTTGTCATTTTAGCAATTAACTCAATCTAATTTTGCTGTGATAATTATGCATTTTCACTTAATTTAATCATCTGGATTTAGAAATCATTCATTATGCATTGATATCTTATTATTATATTTTATTCTTTACTGTTAGTATATTATTTATTAGTGTGTATTTTATGTAAAGCCCATATTGTACTATGTCTTTTAAAGCCTATTCGTACATATTTATGTATTCAATTAATGAGATGAGATATGTATGGAAAAATACTTTATGTATATGGTACCGAGCAAACCCTAATCTCTTTTATCCATCTCTAAGTCGTCGGCCTCCTTCATCATTTGTTGGCCGATCTTTTCATATCTCATCTCATCTTAATTCTTCTCTGTTTCATGCTTTCACAATGACGGGAGGTGATGCCCCTAAAGTCACACCTATCACTGAAAAACCTTACGGGATCGCTAATATCCTTGCTTCCATCCCGTCATCCTTGATCTCGATCGCATTAATTATGACTCCTGGAGAGAGCTTTTCGAAATCCACTGTTATGGATTAGGTGTGGCTCATCACCTCAAAGAACAAGCTGATCCCACATCGTCTGAGATCGAGGAATGGAAACGAATTGACAACATTGTCAAGATGTGGATATATGGTACTCTCTCCCCTTCTCTTCTTCAAATGTCATCCAAACGAAAACAAAAACTTTTTTTGCATTATCGTTGTATCTTGAGACTCTTTTTTGTGCAAACAAAGACTCCATGGCGATGTAATATGATTCAGCGCTTCGTAATATCTCAATGGGGACATCCACTATCACCGAACACTGCACCAAGATCCAAACTCTTGTTAACCTCCTTAAAAAATTGAAAGCCAAAGTTCTAGAGAAAAACATTGTGATATATACAATTAATGGACTCTCTCCTAAATTTCACCATGTTGGTAGTTTAATTCGTCATAAAAACTGTTGCCCTTGTTCTTCGAAGAACAAAGATTTCAGTTGAATGAACAACGAAATCAAGGTCACACTTATTCTGGTCATCCTACCTCGCCATCCGCTCTCATCACGGGACCTGTTTCTCAACCATCGTTCTCTCGTGATAGAAATTAATGAAGACAAGACGGACATGGTTGTCGACACGGCAGCAGAGGCGGACGTAATAGGGATAATTCCGGTTTCAATCACTCTTGTCATCAATAGTAGCTTCCAGCGGGATGGGGCTTAAGATGGTACCATCTTGCTGAGTCTTTGGGCTCGTCGACAATGTCACAGCAGGCTGGCATGCTTCTGTTGCCTTCCCCCATAACGATCTTTTGCCCCACTAACCTCTTGGCCCAATATCCCGTAGCATTCTCGCCAACTTAGAAAGGCCCAATTTCGGCATCAGGCCTTAGTGACATCGACCCATAAACCCACTCACCCTTAGGCTTGGTTTGGTCCACCGGGTTCATCTCATCTACAATCCCATCCTACTATGCTTCCGGAATTGTTTAACACGATGTCTTTGAATGATCCTAATAGTCATGGTTGGTATATGGATATCGGGGCCACTACTCATCTTCATGCAGAATCAGGTATTCTTAAAACTTTTAGCAAGCACCTGGCTTGCTATTTTGTAGTTGTTGGCGGTAGATATAAAATTTCTGTAAGTAATATGGGTGACAATGACATTTCTTCTTCCAACCCTTATCGCCCTCTTTCCTTGAAAAACATACTCATTTACCCAATATAATTAAAAATATTATTTTTGTGCGTCGGTTTACTAATAACATATCTTGTAGCACTGAATTTGATCCTTATGGTTTTTCTATGAAGGATCTTCATACCAAACAAACCCTCTTTCGATGTGACAGCACTGACGATTTGTACCCTCTTACAACATCAACTCCTCAAGATTTGCTCTCTATTAGTCCAAATATTAAGCATTAACGCCTCAGCCATCCATGTCGTCTAATTTTTTATCATCTTGTTTCCAATAATTTGCTTCCATGTAAAAACATGAAACTTTCTAGTATGTGTCATGCTTGTCAACTTGGAAAGCATACTCGGTTTCCTTTTTGTTTATTTGATATTATTTCATATAATGCTTTTAAGTTGGTACATTCTAATATTTGAACTTCTCCTATTGCTAGTCCAAGAGGCATTAAATATTATGTTATCTTTCTTGATAATTTCTCACATTTTGTCTGGGTATACCTGTTGCGATATAAATCTAATGTGTTCTCTAAAATTGTCTATTTTCGTCAATATGTCAACACCCAGTTTCATACAGAAATCCAATCTTTTCAGTGTGATAATGGGGGATACAATAATAACAGTTTTCATAAACTTTTCAATGATAATGACATTCATATATGTTTTTCGTGTCCTTACATTTCTAAAAAAAATGGCAAATCCGAACGCATATTAAGAACCATAAACTATTTGATTCACACTTTACTATTTCATTCTTATCTCCCACCGACCTTTTGGGTGGAAGCGCTTCATATGGTGGTTCATGTATTGAATGCTCATCCTTCATATACGCTTAAAATGACACACCCTTTTACAAACTGTTCAATAAAAAACCATCATATTCACATTTACATGTGTTTGTTTTCCTGTGTTACCCTCACACTTCCGCATTTCACAAGATAGAACCCTAATCTGTTTCATGCATCTTTGTAACATCCAGTTTAGGGATGTTTCTTATTTTAGGGTAGAGGACCGTAATTTGATCAAGTAAAGGTATCGAACTTCAAGGGAATAACGTTTAGACCTTATTAGATGTTTATAATGTTGGTTAAGTAATTTAAGCCCATTAATTGTGTATTTGAGCCAAAAAGGGTATAATGGGAAAAAGTGATATTTTGGACTATTTTGCATGTATTAATGAATTGAGTTTGGAATTCATTAAGTCAAAAGTAATTGGATATAATTGTGGGGCTTGTTATACGTTCATGTGCATATAAAGATTACTGAAATCGTACTTGGAACGAAGAAGTTATGGCGGTTTGAAGTTGAAATGGAAGCTGCGAAAACCCATTACCAAGTCGTGGTGAGAAGTTCACCACAACATGGTAAGGTGTACAGCCTAAGTCCATACATTTAGGTTTTGTTTCATATTTAAAGGCTTTACTCTGCATTTTTTAGGTCATTTTCCAGCCTCTATTACATCAAGAGTTCCTTGGGAGCAAACCCTAGCCTCCCTTTCATAAATTAAGCTCCTCCTTTCACCTCTCATCCATTTTCATGATGTTATTGTAGCTTTAGAGTGTGTAATTCTTCAAAGAATTAGGTTTGAAGCTTTTTAACTGAAGAGATCATCAGCCTTCATCTACCTTCTAGACCCTAGTGAGTTGCAAAGATCCTTACTTTATTGTGTTTCATCATTAGTTCTATGAGTATTTGGTGTTTGGTCCATTTTAATGAGTTTTGGTCCCTTTGTGACTTGTTCCATGGAGTTTGAAGAACTCCATGAAATGTTTAAAGTTCAAATCTAGTGATTTGGTAAAGTAAAGAGTGTATGCAAGAACTCTCTTTACTCTATGAATGAAGAAAGTGGATTTTTGGACATTTCTTAACTTAAGGTTTTGGATATTGGAAGTTTGTGGGATTATTATGGATAAAGTTGGAAACGTTATCCGTCTAAACATCATGTTGGTTTAGATATGAAAGTTGCAGGCTTAGACTCAATGTATAAGTCGAGAAAGGTGCATTCCTGGACTCTTTGAGACTTAAAGTTTAGACCTTGGTTGTTTGGACCATTCTAATGGATAAAGTTGGAAACTTTATCCATTATGAAGCTACTAAGTACCCGATCTGAATAGTTGGAAGCTTGGGCTTGATGGATTAAATCTTCTGGGAGTTACAGGAACAGGCCAAAACCCGACGCGGTTGTTTAGAAGCCACGACGTGGTTTCTGGATTCTGATGCACATTTGTTTGGAGCTGAGTCCCGACTGTTTTTCCCTTTAATGATTACGACATTGTCAAGTGGTTTGGTCGTGGAATGGTGGTTAGTGATTTTTAACCCTTGACCGTTGACTTTTTTACCAGTTTGACTTTTGGTCAAACTTTGCCAGATTTGAGCGTTTGGCTATGGACGGGTTCCAGTTTGGCTTTAGGTAGCTTGTATTAGTTGTTTCTGATGTTGAGGTAGTTGTTGAGATTCATTTGTTTAGTTCAGGTGAGTATTCTCATTGTATTACTTATATCATATGATGTATGTGAGTTGTTGATGACCCGAAGTTGCTGATAACCTAACTATGTTGTATGTGATTCGTTGATGGATTCGGGTTGCTGATAACCCAACTATGATGCATATGACTCGTTGATGGTTCGGGGTTGCTGATAACCCACATATGTTTTTTTATGCATGACATTAAAATATGACACATATTGATGTATGTCATAAATGTTTTCAAAAGATGACATAATTTTATGATAGACAATTATGTGTGCCGTAAATTCTTTAGATTTCACTAAAGATAACACTCTTTTTTTTGATATATGTTCTTTTCTATAATAAAATTAGTGTGTCGTAATTCATGTCAT